TATCATTAATGAAGACAATTACTTTTTAAAAAGCCTTCACTGACTTTATGAATCCAGGATAAAACACAAGAGAATTTTATTGCTCCTTTAAATGTCAAGATCATCTCTCCAGTTGGTGTCACTTATGTTATGGAACCTACACTCAGATATTCAGTGAAAATTCTGTTTAGTCCACTCTCTGCCCTGTGAGGAGCATATGACCAGGGTCTGCTGATGCTCCATTTCTCAGGATTAGAATTAGTAAGTAAAGAGTTTATGGGAAAATCACAGCCTCCTGGCTATCTTCTTGCCAGTACACGGAGAAAAGAACAAAGAAAAAGAGACAGAACGGATGATACCACTTGAGTAGCCAGATACGGTTTTGTCTGAAGCTAGTGCTACTCCTAGACTCTTAGGTTCTGGAAGCCAGTGAGTTTCCCTTTTTACTTCAGTCAGTTTGAGTTGATTTTTCAATGACTTGCATCTAAAACAGTTCTAAAGAATATGCTTAAAATATTTGTTAAGTCTTCTACATGAGAGGCACTTTGTGAAGCATTTGAGAGCCAAGTGTGAACAATGGAGAATCAGTTCTCTAGAACAATGACTCTTAAAGACACCATCCCAAGGGTCCAGGATTTTGCGATTAGTGCAACATGTTGGAAATAATTTATTTCTAAGTCTTTAAATTTTTTTATTTGTGCAAAAAATTTTAATATATTAGTATTATTTCAAGGATATTCCTATATACCATTTTTCTCTCTTTCTCTTATAAGAAAAAGTGACTCAAATTAAAAATTATAAAATAGTATTCCTCTGCACCATAGGCACCCACTCTGTGGAATACCAACATTCAGAATTCTTGCAATAGTTCTGGAAGTTCCCAGGTGAGGCTATGTTACTGTGCTGTTGCAGCAACACCACATATTCTCTAACTCAAGACTCCTGCTGGGCCAGGGTAACGACTGACTGGTGCCTAAGTCATGACAATGGGCCCAGTAAAACACAGATCTCTGCACCAAATGCCCAGTGCTGCTGACAATCCTGACAAGTGTGCACCCAGAGGCTCTTGTGTTAGCCATTGCCAAGGTACGAATATCCATCTAACTGTAGTATCCTCTTCAGTTTCTCCTCTATTCCAAATGGGGAAGATGATCTTGGGATGGTATCTGTTTCAGTACCTACTCCCAGGATTATGTATCAGAACTCCTTTATGCTTCTAATGTGTTACAGAGAAATAGCTTATTCAGTGTTTATAAAGGCAGGCTTAACACCTATTCATGATTTAACATTGAAACTAGAATAGAATTTTCATTTGGCTATTTTTTATTCTGAATAACTTGACTCCTGACCTCATCTCTCTGGTTTTTTAATTTACATGTAATTAACATATTATATTAGTTTTGGGTGTACAACATAATTTGATATTGGGGTATATATTGCAAATGATCACCACAATAAGTCTCATTAACATCCCCCCCACATAGTTACACATTTTTCATCCTTGTGATGATGAGTTCTAAGATCTACTCTCTTAGCAACTTTCAAATATACAGCTCAGTATTACTGTCTCCTACCGGATCTCATGTTACTCCCCTTCTTGATTGTGATGCCCCTGGCACGCTGGCCTTCCAAAGTGTAAGACCCTCACTCATCCCCACATCGGAGCCTTTGCTCAGGCTGTTCCCTTTGCTTACAAGCAATACTCTGATCGCTATTCTTTCCCTGGATGTTTCCTTTTCATCAGTTAAGTCTCAGTTTAATATCACGTCACATCTTCATAGAAGCATTACTTTAATCCATTAGTCGTATTGTATTTCTAATACCTGTTATTTTACCAGATGACTCTGATAATCGTTGTAAATGTTTATTTATTTGTACAATTATTTCTTAAGTGCTTGTCTGCCTCACTGCATTGCAAATACCATAAAAATTACAGACTGTATCTATTTGTGCGCAAGTATATTACCAGTGCTAAGTACAATACTCTGAAAATACTAAGTGATACCAGTAGAGTGATTATATGAAAGAATGCTTTTGTTCTTAAGAGCTCTGTGCCAACATATGCATTGGAGAAATTATGGACTGTCTATACATTACTTTCAAATAGTTTAGCAAAAGAAAAAATGTCCATGTACTTAAAGAAAGAAAACAAGTTTGAAAAAATATTGATGTGTAAATCTAGTAATATTGATATATAAATCTAGTTGCATATGTACCTATTGTAAAATTTCTCCAATTTTTCTGTAGGTTTGACTTTTTTGTCAAAGATAGAAATTTACAAAAAGAGCAAAACCTCTTATTCAAGACATCACTAACTTGAAAACATAACCTGTTTTTTGAAATTAAAATAAAAATAGAGATTGTTTATCTGGTGACTCTACATCCAAAGAAGATTTTTCTGACATGATCCTAACATACACGCTTCCCCACCTCCTCCCATTCATCCTGCCATTTGCAGAAATCCCTGTAGAGGATACAGTAGCAAAGTTGAAATTTAAACTGAGAGATGTCACAAAAATTAAACAATTTATGATATATTTTCCTGATGGTTTTACTCAAATATAAATGTTAGTAGAATGTCTGTTTGCAAAATACTCATCTCCAAATGCCTCAGCTCCTTGCTCAGGAGCACTGCATCAATCAGGGATTGGAGTTATAAGAGAAACAAAAATAAAGGACAAAAATCAGGCATAATGGGATTCTGAAGTCACACAACATCACCAGAACTTGGTCTTCCCCTCTCCATCACTTATTTTCGCTTTGTACTGGTGGCGTCGTCAGGCTGGCTCGCCAGTCACACTAACCAGGCTTATGCCAGCAGCTGGAGTCTAACTCCTTCCTAGCCTCTTGCAACTTTAGTAGCTGGAGACAGTTTCCTGCCTCCTCTGATCATTCTCTCTTGGATCAGATACTAATCCTGAAGAAATCCTGGCGGCTAGAGACATGATGATTTATAGGCCTCACATTGCCCAAATCCAAAAGAAGACTGACATCACGGCACCTAGGCTACCAAAACTGGGAAACAGAGAATGTCTCCTTGTTAAACAAAAAGTCAGGAGGAGACCTGCGCAGGCAAAACCAACAGTTGTCAACTACCAGTGCCACAGCCATTTCTTCCCCCCAAATTGCACACTTCTTCTTTACACTTTGGGACTTCAAATAAGCCTCATGAACAATTTCTGGAGGATTTTAATTTTCTCTTCTAATCAGTATTTTCCCATATATTTTTATTTTTATAGAATGAACTATCTTTGATTACAATTTTCTTGATTTTACATTCATCTTCATTAAACTGAACACGAGTGATACTTGTTCATTATAAATTATAAATCTTTTCTGTATCAATTTGTTTCTCATTACTTTTTGTGCTATTCGATTTCTAGTCATGTTTCTACGAAGTTAAATTAATGTTAGGGGTGAGGCACTAACCACCAAAGCAAAGAGATTCTGATTCAAAGATGATTCATTTTTAATAAAGAACAAAGTTGTCACAGTAATACATTAATTTTCTGAAGCGTAAGGTGCCTTTTACTCTGGTAGCAACGTATCTCCATCACTTTTGCCCTTCATTAGTGAGATAAAATAGTTCTTGTTGGACATGAAAGAGCACCATGTTATAAACTATCATATTTCTGTTCATGGAAAACGAACAGAAAATATAAAAATCATCTTGTAAATATGAGTTTTATACTCTCCTTATTAGAGTTTCAAAAAGCCCATGTACTTAAGAATTCATTATGTTTTTCAATGATTCTTATATAGGAACTATTGATCCATTGGATCCTTCTGAATTTTTCCGTTTATAGAATTATATCAATCAACTTTTTCTTCAGCACGGTACAATCCTAAAATCTCAAAGGTTTACAACACTGTTTAGTTCTCATTCATTTTACACAAATGCTGAGGGTAGGCTTCTCTTGGCCAGGCTTCACTAGATTTGGTCGGCTGCCACGGGGTCTTACTGTATTTGGCTTTGCTCCATGTGTTTCCTTAGTACAGGACCCAGGCTGAAAAATCAAACACTACTACAACATACTGTTGTAATGGCAGAAGGCAGAAGTTCAAGGAGACTGACAGAAACTTGCAATACTTCTAACAGCTTCTGGTAAGATGCAGCATCTGTTACATCTGTTTACATTCCATTGGCCAAAACAAGTCACATGTCAAAGCCCAACATCATTGGTGCACGGAATTCTACTTCTCTCATGAGTGGGGCCAGGTGTAAATAAGTGGGGGATGAATATTTGGAAACTAAGAATATTACCTACTAGAGAAGGAAACTAAGGAGCAGATTTACTTTACTCTGCTTGTTAGTAGATAGGCAACTATTCATCCACTTGCTAATTTAAACACACATTGTTTGAACGTCCACTGTGGATCAGGTCCTTATTAAGGATTCCTTTGTGACATGAATTGACAACAGTGGAAGGAAATAGAGAAACATACAAAATGGTCTCTATCAAGACATTTTCATTTTTTTAGGCCTGGGGTTGGTAAATGTTTTCCATAAAGGGCCAAATACCAAATTCCTTAGAGTTTGTGGGTCACCTATTGTCTCCGTGGTTGCTGCTTCTTTTTCCTTTCTTGACCTCTTCCTTTTATTTCTTCTTTTTAAATTATTTTTCTAACAATTCTTTAAATATGGGGAAAAATTCTTAGCTCTCACATGCATAAAAATGGACCACTAACCAGATTTAACCCACGCATTGTCATTTGCCAACCCCTTCTTTAAGGAAATACAACAGAGTACTCATAAAAATCTAAACAAAACAAAACAACAGTCTACAGAATGGGAGAAAATATTTGCAAATGACACAATTGACAAAGGTTGAGTTTCCAGAATATATAATCAGCTCATACAACTTAATAAGAAAAAAACAAATAACCCAATCCAAAAATGGGCAGAAGACCAAAACAAGGAATTCTCCATTGAAGACATACAAATGGCCAATAGACACAAGAAACAATGCTCAATATTGCTAATTATCAGAGAAATGCAAATCAAAACTACAAGGAGGTATCACCTCACACCAGTCAGAATGGCCATCATTCAAAAGTCCACAGACAGTAAATGCTGGAAAGGGTGTGGAGAAAAGGGAACATTCCTACAGTGTTGGTGGAAAAGTAGTTTGGTGCAGCCATTATGGAAAACAGTATGGGGATTCCTCAAAAAAACTAAAAATAGAGTTACCATATGATCCAGCAATCCCACTCCTGGGCATACATCTGGAGGGAACTCTAATTTGAAAAGATACATGCACCCTTATGTTCACAGCAGCACTATATACAACAACCAAGACATGGAAACAACCTAAATGTCCATCAACAGATGACTGGATAAAGAAGTTGTGGTGTATTTATACAATGGAATACTACTCAGCTATAAAAAAGAAGAATAAAATAATGCCATTTGCAGCAACATGGATGGACCTGGAGATTGTCATTCTAAGTGAGGTAAGCTAGAAACAGAAAGAAAAATACCATAGGATATCACTCATATGTGGAAACAATAAAACAAAAAGGGGGAAAAAAGGACACTAATGAACTTATCTACAAAACAAACAGACTCACAGACATAGCAAACAAACTTATGGTTACTGGGGGAAAAGGGGTGGGAAGGGATAAATTTGGGAGTTTGAGACTTGTAAATCTTAGCCACTATACATAAAAATAGATTAAAAAACAAATTTCTTCTGTATAGCACAGAGAACTATATTCAATATTTTATAAGCTTTAATGAAAAAGAATATGAAAATGAATATATGTATGTATATGCATGACTGGGACATTGTATCGTACATTGGAAGTGAACACATTGTTAACCAACTGTACTTCAGTTAAAAAAAAATCTACTCATATTGAACAAAAACTCATCATTTCAAATAAGACTACAGACTCTGTAGTTTGAATAACCCATAAATCTGTAAGTCAATTCTTTTTTAGTTTGCAAAGTCCCCAAAACTGAGAGAACAGTACAGAACCTCTATATCAAAAAGTACCTGTGACAAAGCCTGTGTGACTCTGACCACTTCCTTTAGTTGCTCAGTCCCTTCCTTTAGTGGACAGAATTCAAACTTTAGCTACATGCTCAACTTTTCACACAGATTCTGGACTTCTGAGATGGTTTATTTTGAACTTGGAATAATGAAGATAATTGGTATAGTATGTAAGGACATGAACTGAGTTCAGGTCTTGGTTCTGTCACTTATTAGCTGGGTAGAGCGTGTCTGTAATAGCTAATTTATGGCCTCTGTGTGATAATCCCAACATCCGAGTCATCTTATGGCTGTATTTTCCCTTATGATTTGACAGTCCTGGCTCTTCGTAGACTGATTAGGGATTGAATTGTAGACTTTGTTAGCATGATGTTACGGGACTCCAGGTCTTATTTAAATCCTAAGGAGGATATTGATTGTTTCCATTTCTTTACTAGGCAATTGGCCAGATTAGGTTGAGGCCACAAGTTCCAAGTTCTTTCTGTAGATTCTTATTGCAATGTTAGCTCAGTTTTCAAAGCATTTGCTGTGTTATTTGGATTAACCCCACATGTGTACCAGCCAACCCCAGAATGGGTGGAATTTTACCCTATAGCGCAGTTCCCAAAAGCTTTGATATGCTGTTTAAGCTGAGATCTGTGCAGTTTAGAGGTAAGCACAGTAGCAGGTGTGGGATTTATGGGACTGCCGGCCATCCCCTCCTCTCCATGATCTCCCCAAAATTTTCTGCCTCCTTGGGGCCTCTTTTTCCTGCTTTCTGGGGTCAGAAACCTAAAATCTTGCTCTTCCAGACACTTTCTGAAACTGTGTTTGCATTTAGGATCAAACGATGGGAGGACAGAGAAAGAGAGCAATGGGGATTTTCTTCATACCCTTAGAACCACAGTTCCTCTCATCTAGAGGATTTCCTTCTCAGAGTTGTAGGCCCAGCCTGGTTGCCATTGCTACTGCTGGGCAGCTACCACCCACCACCCACTACCACAGCATTGCCTGTGGGCTGTAGCAGGAGAAGATGAAAAAAGACAGACAAAACTGTCCATTCTCCCACTTTCTTCAACACTCAGCAGCTTCTTCCTTGTCCTTAGATCAGCATGTTTCTCTTGGAGCTCTTCCTGTCTGCTGGAGGTATGCACTGACAAACTGGCAGCTGCCTTTTGTCCAGATTGGGTGATACCACCATACACACACATACACACACACACACACACACACACACACAGGCAATCTCACCACTGGTTCTGTGGAACTTTGAATTCTAAAATTCTCATCTCCTTTCCCAACCTCCCTACTACCATGTACTTTTCAGGACTCTCAGATTGCTGCTCTCTGCTTTCTGTCTAGGATTTAGAACTGCATTCAGTTGAAGAAGTGGAGTGGAGTGTATTTACACATTTTCCCTAGAATCTGAGATCCAAGTTCCTCCATAATTTTATTTTTTTAATGTTTTTTTTCAATTTAAATGGAGGTACTGGGTATTGAACCTAAGACCTTGCATATCTGCCACTGAGCTATTCCCACCCTCCTGTTAATAATGTTGAATGGGCATGTATAGGAGTGAAATGAAGGGTGGTAGAGATGACGAAAATGGAAGAAAATTATTAGAAATGGTAACAGAATTCCAAACAGGAGGGCACAGAAGGAAAGCACCAGTGTGGTAAGGAAAACACAATATGCTAACATACCATGGTGTTTTTGGTGATTGATGTCTCCTGATGAGTTGCCTGGAAAAGCAGAGCTTGGAAACCTGAAAGAGTGCATCTCAGAATACAAGTAAGGCAGTGAGTCTGGTCAATCAACATTTCTCCTAGTGAATGTATTTAGAGCACTTAAAACAGTTTGTTGCTGCTCATTAAAAAATGTAAAGTCAAAAAGATAGTGGTGGAGGATTTCAGTCATATTCTTTTACTCTATTTGATATCCTTTATTATAAATAAAATAACAAGCATGCTGTGTGTTACAAGGGTAGGAGAAAAGAAAAGAAACAGAATAACTACTTTAAAAGTTCCAAGACTATATGTATATATATATATATATATATAACTGAATCACTTTGCCATCCATCTGAAACTAACACAACAGTGTAAATTAACTATTTTTCAATAAAAATATTTTTAAAAAGTTCAAGTCAATTAACATGAAGAGAACAAATGTTAAAATAATCAATGAATAAGCAATAATGATCAAAACATAAAATTTGGGAATTATAAATCTGACAATATTATTTCATCAAACACTCTCTGGTAATGTCAAGTCATCTCGTTTGAAATTGCTTCCTTTTCAGTTTAAAAACACTTCAGTAACTGGTACCTTGCTATCAGAAGAGAAAGTAAGATCGCTGTTTCAATATTTGTCTATTTCAGAGTCTTTCTGGTTCTTGACCTTCTCTTGGTTACTCCATGTGAGCCAACGGCTCATAGGTATCAATGTCATCCTCAATGCTCTAGTATGAAAACTATAGCAATTTCCCCAAGCAGAATGATTTCCTTCTTGCACACCCATGCAAACCCAGGGTGAAATTCAACAAGAGGGGAGCTCAAAAGGACATAGAGAAGCTGCAGAGCCTTAGTCTCCATGGGATCCTAAACTCCTATTCACGTTTCTATGAAAATTTGTTTGTATTTTAACTAGATATTCAATGCACAGATGAGTTTGCCTTATTCCTTGTTGATTGTAAAAGATTTCTGATGGTCCCCTGTGGTTATACTTTTTGTTTACACACTTAAACACTGAAAGAATTGACTTTTTTGAGCCAAAGTTGTCAGCTGAGGTTTCTTTTACCATCTCTAACATATTATAAGGTCAATAGCAGACTAGTCTAAAAATAATAAAATAAATAGTTTCTGAAAAGGATTTAAATTGACATAAACTACTGAATTTTATCTAGATAACCTATTAGTTTATGGGGACACGTTAAGACATCTTCATCAGAATTTCATTCAGATTTACCTTCATCTGTTCGTGAACACTGTGAGATGTATAAGCATGTTTGTAGTTGCAAATGTTTAAAAAATTGCTCTCTGTAAGAGCCTTAAAAAATGACAATAACAGCAACTTGGCACATTTACATCCCATAGGAGTAATGAACAAATCTATTTATTTGTAAACATTTCACCTTCAAGTTCTTGCCCTTCAGCCATACAGACATGATTTGAAGACTTTAAGCACACAGCAATTTAATCACAAATATCTTCCAGCTGCTGGCCAGTAATGGCATCATTTCTTATTGTCTCTCTTTTCCTTTTTCTTCTCTCAAAAATACATCCCATATAAGTAAAACTGCCAGATGTCACAAATTGCAACCCTGATAAACACAGTGAAGCCTCAAAAACAGATGGAGGTATCTGAGGCTCACTGCCTTCAGTGACTCTGCCCTTTCTCTGGTGTGATTCACAAGAGGTGATTATCGTGGAGCCCAGATGCTGGCTCTGCAGCTGCCGCCCAGAGCTGCACCTTCTCACTGTGTCCTCTGCTTTGTACAATGAGTCTGAGAACATTTAGACCCCGCTGGGTGTGTGTTTTTGTTTTGTTTTGTTTTGTTTTTATGATTAGTCAGTAGTGAAATGAAAGGGGATCTGAAGATAATAAATCAAACTTAACAGGGAGCAAAGACAATTTTTTTCCTGAGGCAATGCTAGCATTTTTTAAGTACAATACCAGGAGAGCTTGGTGACTATGTAAGATGCAAGTTGAGGCAAATTCCAAGCGATTGAATAGGCTATAATGATGATGGCATTCTAGGATGGAAGCCTAAAAGATAGATCTTCTTGAGAGAAAGAATTTTAGCTCCATCTAGCCCACTTAAGATCTACTCTACCACATGAAGCAGGTGTTTCACAGCCAGTTGATTTACATGTGAGGATGGAGAAAAACAGTAAGAGAAAATTAAATAGTACTAGATCAGAGATCCCAAGGAGTCATCCATTATTATAACTGGAAGTATCAAGGAAAGACATGTTATTGACCAGGGACGAGACAACATATTGAATTTTTAATATTATAACCTGTTTCAAGCACACAACTTCAGCAAATATTAGGTAGATAGATGCCCAGGGGAAATTTAAGGCTGAACACAGGTCACGATGCAATAGATTTACTTCCCTGCACATACTTCCCAAAACTCATGTAATGTGGCACACAAGGAGGTGAAATAGATTTGTTAAGGCAATTAGCAATTATTTGCTATTTACATATGCTTTTAAAAAGTGGGTGACAGGATGAGGGGTTAGAGAAAAGGATAGAAAACCTGCTTACAATCTCAAAGTAACTAATACTCTGATTCGAGAGCTAAGACATACATACAAGAGATAGTAGCATCCTACAGGAACCAAGTGCTTCTGTACAAATAACAATATAAGTTTCTTATTAAGGGCAAAGATCACGTCTTATGGATACTATGACTCCAGTGCTTACAAATATTCATTGAATAAGGTGAAACACAAAACAGGCTGAATTAGAGTAAAATTCTTATTGGCCAATACTTCAAGGGGTTAATAGGCATGATCTGGCAGAAAAGAATAAGAGAAATCCAATGTGGGAGAAACTGTTATAAAATAAAGGGCAAATTATATACAGCATTTAAATTTGCATTTTTTAATTAAAGTATAGTCAGTTTACAATGTGTCAATTTCTGGTATACAACATAATGGTTTAGTAAACCATATACATACATAGATTTGTTTTCATATTCTTTTTCATTATAGGTCACTACAAGATATTGAATATAGTTCTCTGTGCTATACAGAAGAAACTTGTTCTTTATCTCTCTCTATATATATAGTAGTTAATATTTGCAAATCTTGAACTCCCAATTTATCCCTTCCTACCCTCTCCTGCCCTGGGTAACCATAACTTTGTTTTCTATGTCTATGAATCTCCTTCTGTTTCATAGGTTAGTTCATTAGTGTCTTCTTTTTTCTTTTTTTTAAATTCCACATATAAGTGATATCATATGGTATTTTTCTTTCTCTTTCTGGCTTACTTCACTTAGAATGACAATCTCCAGGTCCATCCATGTAGCTGCAAATGGCATTATTTTATTCTTTTTTATCGCTAAGTAGTATTCCACTATATAAAAATACCACAACTCCTTTATCCAGTCATCTGTTGATGGACACTTAGGTTGTTTCCATGTCTTGGTTATTGTATACAGTGCTGCTATGAATATTGGGGTGCATGTATCTTTCCAAATTAGAGTTCCCTCCAGATATATGCCCAAAAGTGGGATTGCTGGATCATATGGTAGGACTGTTATTAGTTTTTTGAGGAATCCCCATACTGTTTTCCATAATGGCTGCACCAGACTACATTCCCATCAATAGTGTAGGAATGTTCCCTTTTCTCCACACCCTTTCCAG